GCAAAGTGTTGCCAGTTACGTCCAACGTAAAACACTAGACTACCCCGAACAGGCCATTTTCCTTGGAGTCAAGAACAGAACCTTCCTTCTGGAGCCCTTGTAGCAAAATGAGCCTGCCACCTTCTACATTTCCTGGGAGGGTGGAAGTTGCTTCTTCACCAGCTTGTAAACCTTCTTTCTCTACACTGCTCGCACTTTATTTGAATCTAGAAGACACCTAATTCAATTGACCTCTTACTGTATATATAAAATGTATCTGAATTAATAAAATGGTTAATGGAAGTCACGCTGGAATCTTGTGTCCGGCAGGTGAATCTTCAAACGGGGAAGTTTTTGTGGCTGAGCTATCGCAAAGGCAGATTGGCGGTTTAAAAAACAGGCACCTGAATATTTAAAAAAAGAAAGAGCTCTTCTCTTCTGATCATTTTTTATAAGAATCAGTTGCTTTTTTTTCAGCTAAGACCAGCAGCAGATTATTTGTATAATCCATCGAAGAGGGTAAAGGATATTGAATTGTCAGTGTCTCCATACTGTACATAGAGGTCTAAAGTCTGAAACTGTTGCCAAAAGGCACTTCCATGAATTTGAGAGTTGTTCATTGGACTTTTGGATCTGGCCAGAGGCCTTGTGAAAGCTTTGATACCCCCTTAGTTAGCTGAATCTCGGTTTATGGAATTAATTCAGGATTCTTCAGTCATACAACACACTCAACCGCAAACTGATTCATGCAGCACATTCAGCTAAAATTTTGTTTTAAAATTAAATTAAATGGAAACATGGGCTAAAATTTGTCTCCAGGTTTAAACAGATCCCATCCAAACTATCTTAGCATCTGTTTAAAGAGAGAATTCCCTAACTTGCATGGTGTGTGAAATACTATTTCTTTATCTGTTTGGCAATGTTTTATCCAGTTGTACAATACTTTTTTGGAGGTGGGATGGCCAAATTCATATAAAATCTGGGCGTACCATGGATTTACACAAAGGCATTTTGATGTTGGCAGTATTATATCATTGATACGAGAGCTGGCACTTTGGAGTTACTCAAGACCCTGATAATAATTTCATTTTTTTTTTCCTCTGCAGCTCCTTCCATTAGAATTTTGTTCTTTTAAAAACGTTATTTTACTGTTTCACTGCTCTGGTTTTATTTAAAATGTCTCTAGGAACACAGTATTTTTAAGAGCATCCTCAGTCTTCCAAAAATTCTGTTAGGATTAGGGTTCTGTTAGTTAGCCATGTTGACATTCATAAAATAATTAATCTTTTCTCAGGTGGCTTTTTTCCTTTTCTGTTTTATGAATGTCATTTGTCACAAAAGAGGAAGTTCAAGAGGCTATTTACTCATTTTGAAACCCGAGGCTTTTACCATTTTTTCCAAGAAGTAGAGCGGCTGCATCATTTCCCAGTTAAAAACTAAAACGTTGCAAGATCTCTTGTTATTTATGAACTATGTAGCTTTTCTGAATTTAGTTGCTTGCCCAAATCAGCTGGTAATTTAAGCCATTCTTAGGAAGCAGTTTTTTTTATACATCATGAATTGGGGTTTGTTCTTAGCACTGCAGCACCAAACTATTGGTCCACAGTAGTTTCTTCCATTTCCAGCTGAAGATTACAGAGTTTGATGTCTCTTGAACTAGTGTTGTCCACAAAACCGTGGTTTCAGCCCAGTCCTTTAACCCAATGAAAGACAGGACTAGAGAAACTCATTTGCTCATTTATTAAGGCACCTTAGTAACTGAGGACTCCTTCCCAAGAAGAGAGCCCCGAACAAAGGAAACGCGTATCTTTTATACTTTTCAAAGTCAGCATCACCACCAGAGAGTACATGATTGGTCACACAGCTGAGCATGTGCACTTATGCCAAAATACCATTACACCTTTCCAAGCCATAGGTGCCCACGTCCATGAATCTTTCACATCTGCTTTCTCTCTTCTATCTTTCCTCCTCCAAATTCCCCCTGGGCTTGACAGCTATTTACCTATCTAATCAACATCTTCCCCTTCTGGTCAATTAGCAGACTTAAATCAGAGATGAACGACCCATTCTGTTGTGGAATGCGAGTCTAATAGTTTATTGCAGGTCAAAGCGAGGACCGCTCTCTTGTGGAATCAGAGTCTGCATGTCAAAGTGAGGAGTGTAAATCCAACAGTTTATGACCTCAGTTTAATTCCAACTTTGATTAATTAGCTCCAATTTTGCTGAGATCACTAGGTTGTCTTACCCAGAACTTCTCTTTGCTCTCCCAGATGGGCGACGGAGGAATTTTGCAATTTTGCACTGCTCCGTTAAAAACAGTTGACATTCACCACCCCCACCCCACTGCATTTAAACATTGTATTTATTTTATATTTCTTTAGCTCATTCTGATCTTGTTTTTCTTCTCTTTGGGAAGCCCAGGGCACCAGTGGGCAAACTTTTGGCAGAGCCAAAGCAAGTCAGTGCTAGCAAGAGGGTTTCCTGGTACACCTTTCCCCAAACGGGAACCCCCAAGGCAAACATCCAGCAACTTTGAAAGCTCAAGGAGGCATTTCTGGTCTCCCCAGGTTTGTTCTGCTGCATCTGGAGAAGCGATCAAGTGATCCAGTACTAAAATGCTGCATTTTCATATAAATCATTCAATTCTTAAAATGGCTGAAATAGTCTTGTCCTGTTTTGGAGCAACTGGACAGTTACCATCCAGTTCCCTCCCCTTCTCAAACTATCAACTCATTTTGAACATGGGGATTGGCTCTTGCATTGAGAGGTTGGACCTCTAAGTTCTTTTCCAGCTCTATGACTGCTTTTAATGATGAAAAAATGGGTTGGATTTGGAAAACGTGATGAACGGAGGGTACATTGAAATCACACTTCAGTGTTCAGTTTGGGCACATCTGTAAAGATACACCCTTAAAATTCTGTTTTGCAATTCTTAGGAAGGCAAGAGCTTTTAAGTTCAGATCTTGACCCTAGAAGGAGATGCACACCGCATGCAAACAAATAAAAATTGCTTTGTCGTGCGAGCCGAAGGTCTTTTTTTGAATTGCAGCTGGGCAAAAAAATATGTTACATAATAAATAGGCTCTGAAGTTGTTATTTGTTCTTCCTAGCTGCTGGGGGATTCCCTATCCCTAATTTCAGTTGGTCTTTCCGGCTACAGGAGAATGGCTCCAAGCAACTCCAAGCAACTCCCATCTTCCTTGGGTGCAGAGTCCAAACTATTCTGCTCTTCACATCTGATTTTCTACTTCTGCTTGGTCTTTTAATCTTCTTTGCACAATCCACTCAAAGATTGCTAAAGTCCAAAACCACGCCGGATTGCTGGAATAAGGCATAGAAATGACATCCAGGTTCTGCCTGCAATTAATAGTTCAAAGTCCCCTTTCAGAGGGAGGGTGTGATTGCCCTGGCAAGGCCAGGGCATACTCCCAGGGTTGCTAGGCAACCCATCCTCCCAAATCATTTTCCCTTTCATTCCTGCAAATCAACCATAAGATAAAACTGAATTAAAGCTGGCCTATGCAGAATCATCTCCTGTGCAAGCCCAGGAAAACTTAGCAAACAAGAGCCCTAGACATGAAAATTGTAGAATAAAGTGTGTTAGTTGCAGGAATACAACTAACCAAATAAAAATAAGCCACTAATAAAGCAGGGCCCTGTGATTTAGTGCCAGCAATTGATTCTTCGTCTCAGATAAATTAACGAAATGAAATTCCAAAGGAAGACAGAACCGCTGATTCTTTATGATTTACACAGAGCTATTTCCCCTAATCTGGGTCTTTCTGGTTGTGTTGGACTATAACTCCCATCAACCCTAATCTGTCTAGTAGGGGAGGATGGGGCATGTAATACAGCTTGCTTAGAAGGGCCAGGTTATGGAGGGCTGAATTAGAACTTTTCCCTCCTCTTTCCTCTGACAGGCACTAGAAGGGGGAAAGTGATTTTTAACCCAACCTGTTTTAACCCTCACAACAACCTTGTGAGGTAGGCTAGGCCGACCAACAATGACAGCCTGGGTATTTATTGTTAATAATTCTATTCTCATTATACCTTATGATTGTGTAAACAGAAGGATGGGGGTATTATTTTATTTTACTTTTTATGTTCTTTTGATTTTTATTGTAATTTCTTTGTTGTCAGCTGCTCAGAGTCGTTGAGAGTCCAGTGGCATATAAGTTTAAATAATAATAATAATAATAATAGAAATAGAAATAGAAATAGAAATAGAAATAGAAATAATAATAACACAACTGTGACATTAAGGGACACATTATTATCTCTAGGGGGAAAAAGAACCTCCAGGGAAAATAGGAGGGGCAAAATCACTTTGTGCTGTGATTGGATAGTTTTCCTACCAAGCTCTTTCTTCTCATTGGTCAATAGTAGAGGGCGGGCGAATGGGCATCGGGGAAAGATTCAGGAAAAGTCAGAATGGCACTTATTTGAGAATCGAAGAAGTAAGTTTTGATTGGCTAGAACCCTGAAGAGCCTTCTTATTAGTCCACCCTAGTCAAAGGAGGACGGGATGATGAGCAGCTGTTGGGTTCGAACCAATCAGGAGCGTGGAGCTACCCAATTGCGCCCAGAGGGGGAAGAGAGAATAACGGAGATGTGATTGGTTGGAACTGGAGAACTAAGACTGTCTCCAAGCTCAAAGAGAAGTTTTCATCACGTGCCTCTCCGTGCCAGGATTGGCTGAGCCATTAAAGGAGGGAGAGATTCCTATTGGTCAGGGCTTCAGAAGACAGCAGCGATTGGTTAAAAGCCATTCTTTTAGAGACAAGACTGTTACTTGTTTCACTTTGAGTCCAGGATACCTTCGGTGGCGTTGGGGGCTTAGCTTTCTCTTTACTTAGGAGCATAATTCTGAATCCAACTCTTTCCTTACTTAATTCCAGTTACATTCCTTAATTACTGGCTCCACATTTAAACAAATTAGTTAACCAACCAGGTTCCCCATTTTGGGGATAGCTTAACTGTTGTCAGTGTATCGTTTTTATTCATCTTTTCACCTGAATTCTCAAAAATTACTGACACCTTTGCAGTAATTAACAAGATAGATTAAAGTAGTTGGTCAAAAACTCCAGACTATTGGTTTTACTCCAGTTAAAACAGCATAATTAACTATTAAGCACTAATTAACCCTCTCGTTAATTGTCTTTTTTGTGATTCTGCCTCTTCCAGTTCTGAACTTTTTATGGCAACTTTGCTTTTTTAAAAAAACTATTTATTTTTAAAGCTTTGAATTTCTGGGTTCTGTTAATCTGGTTTCCTCAGCTCAATAATCTGTCCCTGTTAATTAATTGTGTCAAGTTTCTGGTTGATGTTCCATTCTTGCTAAGTCCTCTTACCAATGTATTAATTCTTAATATTGTATCATTATTTACATCTCACAATTAGTATAATAAAATTTATTTTTAATTGTATGTCCAGTTGGGCTTCAGCTTTTCTTTCTTGTAAAATAGTTTGAACATTAGTTGTAGGCCTGTCTTCTTTAGCTATTTTCATTAACATTGTCACTAGAAGGGGCCTTCTCTGAGTAAATTCTATTTGCTTATTAACTTGTTCATGTTGCCCTTTTAATTTAAAAGTGTTCCTAAAAATCTCCACAATCCTACTTTTCAATTTTTCATTATTTAGCATTTCCTTTAATTAATTGTGTACTGACCTGAATGTTGATTTAAGGCCTAATTCACAATGAAATAATTTAATTTTATGGGGAGGAAAAAGTGCCTGTCTTAATTTTGATGCTGTGTCAAACTAAGACATTGAGATTACTTGATTTCTGAGGTCAAACTCCCTTGACTCTAAGAAACAAACTTAAATATATCTATTAATAAATTTGAATAAATATATAAATAAAATAATAAAATAAATCTATAGAATTAGAATTTCTGAAAAAGGGCCACCCTTTTTGGAGGAAAGCAACTCCCCCCCAAAAGTTTACAGTGTCTAAAAGTCTCACAAGTTGTTATTCTTAAAAAAGAATACTGATTCCATCATGTTCTACTATCCCAATGTTTTGCAACGCCATACTGGATGCTTTGCTACGATTTGGTAATTTCCTTTGTTGGGAATTGAGGTGTTGGGTGCAGTAGAATAGTGTTGCACATGGATCAGGGCTCTTAACCCCCCTAAATGACAAACCCGTGTGCCCCACAGGTTGGCAGCGACTGGCGCGGGGAAACTCCTAAAGCGGGAATACCTGAAGGTCAATGTTCCACAAACATGGTGAGTGAGGGGTGAATCCCCTAAAAGAGGATTTGAGATCTGTTGGGCAGATGAAGTGTTTTTTTATTATTATTATTATTATTATTATTATTATTATTATTATTATTATTA